GGGGGGGGGGGTCGGAGATTGGTGTTTGTTGAAGAAAATAGAAAAATACTATCTATCCATGATTTCCTCTCACCCATGCTCTAACAAGAATTTATTTTGCATTTGACATTGAATTAAAAAAACAAGAGTGCTTCCAAGAGAAAACAAGGGAGTAGATATATAGACAACCCCATATGAGTTCCCATGCTTTTGAGTCAAAAAGACTTAAAAAAAAAACCTTCATCTCAGTGGCCCATCATCTAAAATTGCTTCACTACCACACACACAAAATCTTACAATCAAACAGTCAATTTTCAAAACTTGATGAGCATGCAATGCAACAGTCAGCTCAGCCCTCTCTCTTTCTTCAACTTGTTTCATGCAAGATTCAGTGTTTGAATTTTGCACTTGTTTTCCAGCATGTAACATGATAGCTACAGTTGTACTCATTGTCCTTTTCCATTGGAACTTCTAAGGTTTTTTCCTTGCCTCTCCTACCAATTGGTTAGACATCACAGTTACCAAGAGAAGAAAACACATGGCGTGGCATCCTTTAGTTTTCCACAAGAAAAGCCCATTCCTTCTTGTTGTGATGAATTATGATTTCTTTTCTTTCTTTTTTTGTTTTTTTGCTTGTGGGCGGGGAGGGGGCTTATCCCTCCCTCCCCCAAAGATTTGAAAAATCCCCTCATAAGATACTATTAGTAGCTATAAAACTCTAAAACGACATAAGCTCGTTCCCATAATTATGACACTTGATTTTGAAATGTATTACGAACTTTGATCAAAACCAGTTTCTGATGGAGCCTTTTCAAAAATATTAACGTCACTTCTATAGGCCAACTTCTTTGGTTCTCTCGCCCCGGGGGGGGGGGGGGGGGGGGGGGGGTTTCAACGAATTAAGTTCAATAGTGTTGGAGTTGAAAACTGTCCTCACATCCCAGTTTTATCACATGCCATTTGTTTTTCATGACAGTCATATTCAAGATTTTTGATGTTTTTTCCTTTGACTCTAGAGGGTTGTTCCAAGTTGCATGTAACAGGCTGAATGTGATCCACAAGTTATCAAGAGAATATACTAAGATTGGGTCTGCTTATGAAAAGGATTGAACAAACTAAAGCTCATTTACCAAGTTTGTGCCGACAGCGGACTTTGCTGGACCTGGGACTTCCAAACAAAGCAAACTGATTGTGCCCAGTTGGGTTTGAAGTTTGAACTAACAGTGCCAAACTATGATACAATTCGTTAACACGACACAAATACAATACGAAATTAGAATAGTTGAATCTTCCTTAATCCATGTGTCTAGTAAACGATTGGATACAACACGATACGATTAATAAAAGAATCGGGTATATGACACATTTCCAAAGCTACAATGAAATTTATTATGGGGTCTATCTAAAGTATGCCAAATCCATGTCTGAAACAAAATCTGCATAGAGTACAATTCCAAAGTTGGAAACCAGTTGGATAGCCAATTCTATAAGATCCCATAAAAAATCTGATATACCTGTTTATTGAAGCCAAACTATGCTTGATATTTCAGTTTAGATTTGAAAAGTCAGCCATTCTTTTCTTCCAAGGATCCTAATCTATATGCAGTATTTATTATCAAGAAAGGTAGGAAAATTTTTGGTAACACGCTATAATATATAAGTGCCAAACGACATACATCCACTTTACACTCGACTATTAACCAGATTTTATCGACCACACAAAATCCGTGCTTCCAGAAAAAAAAAAAAAAATTTCTTACACAATAATTCTAGCTGTATTTCTACAAAACAAAGATCATACTTGATAAATATAGCAATCCGAGAAGCAACAGACACTTAACTCAAGTCTTTATGAAGTGGCCAAAGAATGCAACTTTATATACAAAAGTATTTCAAGAAAACAAAAAAAGTATGCTCAAAATTTCTCACATACATGTAAGTGCTGGCTATTTTCCATATGTTTGCTACCATATATGATCACTTGGACGACATCCTATGATCAATTTCGCCATTCTGGTTGTACATAGCTACTATTTTTTTTGCATAAGATGGCATGTGCCTATCAGCTCTGCATTCATCAAATTACAGATATTATAAGCAACTTCCATCCATCATGTTAGGATAAGCACTCATTTGAAGTTCTAAACGTACCTTTGTTTTCCCCATGTGCGATTTACATACAGATAATTCCGGATGGTATGGTAATCTAGTGAATATTGGGCAAATTCTAGACCCTTTGGGCCAATCTGAACCAAAAGAACCAAGTGAGAAGGGAGATCTGACTCTAGTTCCTATTATCAACAAGTGAGAAATAAAGAGAAATTCTTACCAAGTTTAGGATGAATGCTATTATATTCCCAATAAATTTTGGGGCAGGCTGAGAAGGACCCCTCCCTGAGAAAAGATAAAAATTTCAATGTTGTTGGATATGACCAAGAGAAACCGAATACAGAAGTTGTCAAGATTACTCCAACTTTATTTTTACAATAATAAAGTACAGTCGTGGTGAGCATATAGAACAAAAAGCATTTAACTATATGTGCTTCTAGTTCTTAACGTAGGAGGTGGTGAAAAATAATAAATGGGCATTACCAGAGACCAAAATTGCAAAATCAATCTATTCTTTCTTGTTGCCAATGTGGGAAAAAAAATCAGACTTTTTTTGAACTAGAATCGATTCTGATCAAATTTCCAAAATTACAGTATGATTACCATGGTCACATAACCATGTAGGGATGGTCCTTTATTGCTGAACACACAACGTACACACTACATGCTTAGAGTCAGATGCTTCAAAGCGAGGCATTTTCATTAATAACTAAAAAGAATATGGCACTACATACCCATCTTAGCATTATCGTCTGCCTTCACTGTTTCCATTACAAATGGACGCCGATCACCCTGAAATAAGATGCTTGTCTTCTGTTACTGGACTACAAAGCATTTAAGTAGCAAATTGTGTAAGGGATGGAGTTTTGGAATTTACCGCACTGGTTGTAGGAGTAATCTCCAAAAGGTTTTTCACCAGACTTAGCATTTCTCTTCCACGTTTGTTTCTGACATTCAGAATAAGCAAAAAAGAAGAAAACAAGAGGAAGTAACAATTTTTATACTTTATTACAAACGTACTACAACATTAAGTTGGCACTCTCAAGCATTGAAATGATATGTGAATGATAAATCAGACACACTGAAGTAAAATCAATTAATTTACCTGACAGTAACATACTGTGGATGTTGTGTCATGCTAACTCCAGCATACTTTGGCACGCCCATGTATCCCACCACCAAATCCTGAAATAGCCCAAATGAACAAGGGAGTATTTCACCATCGTCTTTACTGAATTTTGCATAACTAAATAATAGCTTTATCGGAGAAGCATTCTCAGATCCAAGGTATCATTCTGCCTTCTTGACCAAGTAAAATGGTGCATTCTCAAAGGTAATAATAAGGTCACACATACAAACACAAAGTGAGGGGAGTTATTTGGAAAATATATATCATCAGTTAAAGTGGGGGAAACTAAATAAAAAAAGTGGAACAAAAAGTTAGAATCTGAAATAACCTAAGGTGAGACAAGATATCTCAGATATTCACCAAGATAGGACATCTCTATAACACGAGGGATCAAGGTTTCAGAAAATATCAAGAAAGGAATTGGTTTTATAATCTATGAACCGAGTATGCAGGAGTTTTGAGGTCTAAGGATTAGCAACACAGAAAACCTCGAGTACAGAAGAATGGCAAAAAAAGAACTCTTTAGCAGGCACCAATTAGTTGGTAAGGCACTTTAAAGCTGGGTTTATTAAACTTTTAAAGTTTTTTGTGCAAACACCCAAAAATATTTGACATGTTCTTAAGTGTTTAGAAGTCCTTTGGCAACTCTCTTTTGTTCTATCACAAACCTTAACTCACAGCAAAAATGCAATCATTCTAAAATTTGATTCAGTTTAACTTATTTCAGGTGCAGTGACAAAACTAGACAATGCAGGGTATTTGAAGGTATGAAAATTGGGTAGGGTCGCCCAACCCGCCCTTAAGTTGTGTCAGCTTTTAACTTCTTTTGTACATTTGATCCCAAATTCAGTTAACTCAAGGGATTTGAGGATAAATAGGATAATTTTAGGGAGTCAGTGCAAACGCAAAATCAAAAAGATGTTTAGCAACATAAGCAACAAAGTGACTCATAATCGCCTCTCCTCCCCCCCCCCCCCCCCCCCCCCCCCCCCCTCCTCTTTTTCC